AACCACTACTCGCGGAGGTTTCGTCACGCTCCCCGATGGCGAAATCCTCCATTACAGCAAAAGTGTCTGTTTAACCTAACCTTAGTACAAGGTCTATTGGTGTCCTCAATTTTATAGAGGTTAGCCACCCGAAGTCAATAAGAGACAAAGAAATAATCCAAGCAGCCTAAACTGTTTAGCCTGACCGTGGTAAAGTCTAACGGGGACCTTAAATTTTATATAATAATAATAATAATACAGGCAACTACCTAACCACTACCGGGCCGCCTAACCTAACCACTACTTTCGCCGGAGGTTTCGTCACGCTCCCCGATGGCGAAATCCTCCATTACAGCAAAAGTGTCTGTTTAACCTAACCTTAGTACAAAGTCTATTGGTGTCCTCAATTTTATAGAGGTTAGCCACCCGAAGTCAATAAGAGACAAGGAAATAATCCAAGCAGCCTAAACTGTTTAGCCTGACCGTGGTAAAGTCTAACGGGGGACCTTAAATTTTATATAATAATAATAATACAGGCAACTAACCAACCACTACCGGGCCGCCTAACCTAACCACTACTTTCGCCGGAGGTTTCGTCACGCTCCCCGATGGCGAAATCCTCCATTACAACAAAAGTGTCTGTTTAACCTAACCTTAGTACAAAGTCTATTGGTGTCCTCCAATTTTATAGGGTTAGCCACCCGAAGTCAATAAGAGACAAGAAATAATCCCGCTTAGCCTAAGCTGTTAGCCTGACCCGTGGTAAAAAGTCTAACAGGGGACCTTAAATTTTTATATAATAATAATAATACGAACTAATAACCACTACTTTTCTAGCAGGAACAAATAAACTCCCCGATGGCAGAAATCCTCTATTCTACAACAAAAGTGTCTGTATTTAACCTAACCTTAGTACAAAATCTATTGGTGTCCTCAATTTTATAAGTTATACGAAGTCAATAAGACAAAGAAATAATCAAGCAGCCTAAACTGTTTAGCTGACCGTGGTAAAGTCTAACAGGACCTTAAATTTTTACTATGTCTGAAATAAACTAACCAACCACTACCGGGCACGCCCTAACCTAACCTACTTTCCTTGGAGGTTTCGTCACGCTCCCCGATGGCGAAATCCTCCACGTACAGCAAAAGTGTCTGTTTAACCTAACCTTAGTACAAAGTCTATTGGTGTCCTCAATTTTATAAGTTAATACAGAAGTCAATAAGAGACAAAAGAAATAATCAAGCAGCACCACTATCTAGCTAAAACTGTTTAGCCTGACGTAAGAGTTTTTTAATAAATCTGGTGATATGGAACCACACACAACCCCCCCCTTAACCTGGATAATGCAATCAAATGGATAATTACTAACTATTCTCCAGAATAATGCCAATCAAATGGTTGATTTGCTAACCGGGGCTGCGCCCCGGACCCCCTGTGTTAGATACTGTATTTGGTCATGATGAATTGTTTATTAGACTATAAGAAATCCTCTTCCTTCTTGTATTGGCAAGGGGAGTTTGCTTTAACTTGGGTATGCTAGCCTAAGTAAAAATAGACACGGAGCTGCGAAGACCTGATTCTTTTGCTGCATGTTTGAGTCTGCAACTTTGTTGTGATAAGACACTCAATCCTAGTGATTGTACTTACTCAACATAGTGACGGTGTAATTACCATCACAGATTGTACGGGAAATTCCAACTTTGGAAAAAACAAATATTTGGCCTACCCAAATTTTGACTACTACCCGTGCGTCTACGTCCTGGATTGGCCAATCAGTGGTGCCCCACGGTGGCGTGATACATGCACGTTTACTGCGGTGCTCTGATTGGCTGACCGAACGTGGCGTGGTAGGTAGGCTGTTTCTACTCTCTAAGTCCTCTTCTTTCCTTTTTTTCATCCCCCTCATGCACTCCGTTCTTTGAACGGGAGGCGGGACTTCGCGATAGTCGATCCGGCAAGGGAACCGGTGATAGTGCAGGGCACCCCTTGTCCGGGGGTCACCGGTAGGTGGCAACTTTCTTAGACAGACATAACTATAGTCACAGGTAACCTGGGTGCAGAACCCTACGAGCCCGACGCCCGTCCAAGAGGGGGGGGCGGGGTCACTGCTCCCAGGCAGGAGCCCTGTGTTATAGGTAGGATTAAATGTAATCAAGAAGATGACAACTAGCATTAGAATAAAACATAGAGATAAGGGACACTCTATTGGAAGGGGAAAAGTGGCAGAAATCACTTACAACAAACTGCAAGTCCCACTAACTAGAATATTCAGCACCAATGAAGGTTTTAAAGTAATCTGAAAAGATGACTTTGATTCAGATAAAATCCTTTCAAAAGAAGCAAGAGATATATTTTACAATGAAGGCCTTATTGTTGTCATGCCACCAGAACAAAAAGCAAAAAGATCAGTTTTTGTTCGTCAAGTCGATCAAGAGATCGGGAGGAAGACCTGAAAGAAGAACTGGAACGCCAAAATAGGTGGATGAAGATTGAAGAAGTCATTAAGATAAAGGACTATACTCATGTTTGAAGAAGTGTCAATGGCTGAGAAAGTTTTACAACAGGGCTTTCTAATATTCAACATGTCAGTCACACACATCAAATAAAGAAGGAGACATTCATCAGTCTGCAAACTTGCTTCTCCTGCTACAAATATGAAGAACACACAACGAGAGACTGTCCGGAAAAAGAAAAAAAGTACTGCTCAGATTGTGCAGGCGACGACCATACCTACACTGAATGTAAGAATACACATGTTGGCTGTCTCAACTGTAAGAGAAACGGGAATGTATACATAGGACATAGGA